GTCCCTCCCCATTCTGGAGGGCTCAGAAAGAGCCCAGGAATAGGTGAACATGCCCAACCTGCTCCAGCCTCTATGGTCAACAAGAGCACCGGACAGAACAAAGTCTTTTCATGGCCCTGTATTTCAGAGTATGGTCAAGGTAATACGTCCCTATTGCTTCTATTATGAGTTTAAAAAAATAATAAATTTTCCATTTATAAAGATTTAGTCCATGGAATATACAGAATACAGGGAAATACATGTTTTTTACTGCTGGCATACTACGTCTGGCTCCTTTCTGAGCTACTCTCAATACTACACTTTCAAAATATCCCCATGGATGTCAGATGGGGGTCCTATACTTGAAATACAGACAAGCAATTCCTTCTAAATGCTGTAGTTCACCCTGGACAACACAATGGTCTTCCAACTCTTGATGCCAGTGTCAACTGCATAACACATTTTGAAACTTTAGCAGCACTTAGGATGCACATGATACCAACGGATATGAGCTTCCAAGTCCATTCCAAAAATTAAAATTCCCTATTTATAAAGCCTGACTGCTTCTTCACAAAAGATCTGTTCACAGACAGTATAGCACTGCACCATACATTAACAACCATGTTTATCCTCCTGAATCCACCAATATTAAACCCTTAACCATTTGCCAACCACCTTAGAGAACTGAATAGTAGTCTATCACTGTTTGCTGTGGAACACTGACAACACGTGTCACCATTCATACAGAATACGCCTGCACACGATACAGAACATTGACAAATGCTTGGTCAGGCTACAATACCAAGAAATCATACAGATCTTCTGAGAGGTCACTTAAAACTGATAGATGAGTGTCATCACTTAAGGCTGCGGCAGCAGGCGCTCTCTGCTAACCCCTCCCTCACCCCGGGAGGAGAAGGGACAGAGAAAAGGGAGAGAGACTTTACAGATTGGAAATTAGAACTACTTTAATAAAACAATAATAATGGAAAATAGTATAACGATATTAATACTACTACTACTACTGCTAATGGAAGTAAAAGGAAAAGTATACAAAACCGATACTGAGTTTCCCGATGACGGTCGGGGATTGCAGGCCGCAGCCCGCAGCGTCTCGCACTGCTGCCGCAGCAGGGTGGGCACCCAGATGTCCTGGACCAGACTCCGCAGCCGACAGGAACCGGATTCAGGAATGCACGGATCGGCGGCAGAGGCAGGAGAATGAGCAGGGTCCCACAGGGATGCCGACCATGAAAGAAGAGAGCCCAGCCCTCGTGATCCCTGAGCTTTATACCGAGTATGACGTTGACGGGATGGAATACTGCATTGGTCAGTTTTTGGTCACCTGCCCCATCCACACTCTTCCGCAGATGTGAACCTTTTACATCTTTTTTGACTTGTTTAACAGAAGGCAGCCAGCAGTGACCTTGGTTCTCATAGGGATAAGTATAAACACGGGCCTTTCTGCATACCAATCCTACTGATAATGCAGTAGCAACTATAAACATCGAGCGTTATCAAGTCTGAAAAGCAGACACTGTCTAAAAAACATGTAGCTGTACTTTCAGAAAGTGCAGTTACTTAGAAGAAACTTAACTGAAAGAAAAACTCCTGAAAGGAGAAATAGTCCTGTTTTAGCCAAATCAGGACAATGACACAAATCTACATTACTATGCTTTGATAGATAACATTGGGCAATGGAAATACACAAAGAATCGGACCTACCATATGTAATGCATTGCTGTGGATGATGCCGTCTTGCTCCACAAGATTTCGGGATATTGTAATAGAGGGAAGATCCAAGCTCTGGGGGGGAAACTGAGGTGTAAATTCATTTGCTTGTGCAGGCAGCTGGTCACCAAGGCCCTGAAAGGGCAGAAGTATATCTGCCATGCCCAGTGCAGGGTCTGACTCAGGCGGGGGGGTAATGGGTGGGATTTCGAACTCCTCATCCCCAAGGCTCGGCGTATGGAACGTCTGCTAGAAAAGGACAGGACAAGGCAAACCACGTTAGGGCACAGTGCTCTCAGTAACCACCTCTGGACCTGTAGTCCAAATCTTGTTTTGTTCTCAAATGCAAACTCTATATGCAACAAAATTTTTAAGTTTCACATACCAAAGGGGTTTGTGGATCATTCTGATTAAAGATTTAAGTCTCATTATCATATGGTTTTAATGGAGTATCAGTATTAACAGTTTTTTAATGCGTACTTAATTAGCAACATCTGTCTTTGTTGTTAGTCTGAATATCAACTACATTGGATTTGGCTGTGTAACAAATTGCCACTTTATTGATATGTTAGTAAAATAGCACAAACAGCTTATATTACTCTCATGCTTCATAAAATACTGACAATTTTGTAGCACACACACAACATTAATTCAGCACTGACCATTTCAACATCTTTTTTCCTTTTTATCCACTAATAAACATGAAATATTATAATTCTGGTCTTTATTTCTTCTCTTTTCCATCCCAAAAGTACAATGCACTCTTTTAAACAAGAGTTGTAATTTGGAGGACAGCAACGTATAAAAGAGTGAGGCTGATTACAGCAGCCTCCAGTGCCTTCTGAAGCAAGGCAGCTTTGTTTGAACAGTAGGTTTGTTACGAACTAAACACCTGTTAAGATGCCTTGAGCAAAACATTTACCGCCAGTTATCTTCAGGGTTTGCACGTGTTTGTACGTGTGCATGTGTCTGTCAAAGATAATCTTTATTCACGTAGAGCCTGTATCTGGCTTCAACATTGCTGACTTTTATTTGGGAAATAAATGAGCTATGCTTATTCAAATTTCTTGCAAGTTAAATGAACTTTCATGTATTATTTCAGGTCCACTGCTACTTAATAATAGAAATTCAGTGCTTGAAATTAGGCCATTTTAAATGTACCCAAATCAGGACTGTCCTGATCAAATTGGGCAGTTGGCAATCCTAAAATAGGCACTCTTGTCTTGTTCCGGACATGCAAGGCTGCTCTGGGATTTGTTTGTTTGCATTAGTTCAGGATTTGAGTTGGGAGAGGGGGATGGTTTTATGTATTATTTACATTGTTTGAAAGAATGACTTAATGCCAGTTAATTTAAAAATGATAAGTTCAGTGAAAGATCTCATTAACTGCTGCAAATTGTCATCCTTCAAACTGTTAATGATGATATAAATTAATAACCGCTTGAGAGAAGATGGAAACTGAAACACAAGAAAAACCTTTGCTTGCATATAGAACCTGTCAGCTGTCATTATTGGTCTCACACCAGAAATGATGAGGTCCCAGACTGCTGCAGTCTGCAGTACAGTCAGAGTCTGCTGAGACCCTACTCATCTCGATAGAACTGCAAGACTATAACTTAATTCTGGATGTGAAAGCTGGGCCTGGATTAGGGAGACGTTTGACTTCCCTGCTGCTATATTACAAAAGGTGTGAATTTTTCTTCCCGTGGACCCCATAGTTCACAAACACAAAGGATGGATTGGCCAGGAGAAGTGGTTGGCTAATGAACATAACCCTATGGCTGCATTTGCAGTTATTTTGGCACTAATGTGGTCTAGTAACAGATGCAACTGTAATTTGTGACTCATTTGCTACCCCATTACTGCTTAATGAAATCTAACATATCACATTAACAATACGGATAAACACTCATTCTTGATATGTGGCATTTGGCTGTTTTCATTACCACTGTAATTAACACTTGAAATATTATTTCAATAAATATTTAAGGTGCTTTAAAATGGGTCGTAGTAAGCATGACATAGAGACAGAAAACATAAAGCAAATGTGTGGCTTCTAAGCCTGAGTGTGCTCTAGGATTACACTCTTAAGGCATTATTTACAGGAATAAAATGGGCTTCTAGCTCAGCAGTGCTCAGGCCCAAATTCATAGCAAGAAAGCTACATTCATGTTGATGTAAAAACACTATAATTAAATACATTGTAATGTAGTAATTGCAAAGTTAGGTTCACACTTTAATGCGAACACTAACACTTAATCATATTTTTATTCTGTGTTCAAGCAAAAGGGTTCAGTGAAATCAGTATTATTATAGTACGTTTGAATCTCTCTTTACTTGACGTATTTATGAGACAGTAGTAATTATAAGAACTGGATCTTTCTTCCCTATCTAACAGAATAACTTTAGGACAGCTGGATAAATATATAACACAGCTAGATAATAATACAATATTTTACTTAGAAAAGTAGCATTCATTGTAATACTTACAGCTTACTACAAATAGGAGAGTGAATTGATGAATACCTGTACATTTTTAAAACGTGAATTCTCACAATGTAACTTGTCCAAATATGTATGTCTTTTTTAAAAAATGTATAACGGACCTAAGATTGAGGGTAACATAGATGTAATCTAAGAAGAAAGCAGGCCCTTTAGTGAAGTAGTCTTAAATCCAAATCACTGGGCTATTCAGTCTGTAAAAACAGCCTGAATAGTATGCAATTTGGGATTGTAGGAAGGTGCTGTTATGACCAAAAGATGGTATAACATTTGTGGGATTTATCTTACCAATCACATTTTTTAAAGTTATTAACTTTTCAAATATTTATATTTTACACATTTAAAAAAAACACACTGTGTGCATGGTTAAATGCCATCTGTACTGAAATGTTCAAAACATTTGTTCCTTTTGATAAAAATGCAAATCTGGAGAACTGTTGTATCAACATATAACAGCCAATGTCTGACACGGTGAATTATCACAGCTGGAATTAAATTGTCTCTGAACAGCTGCTGGCAGCAGAGCTTTCATCAATGTTTGATTCAAATGTAGGAAAGAAATTCTACAGAAAGAAACATCATGTTGTCATTACAGATGGGGTTTGTGTTCATTATCACAAATAACACCGGAGCTAGTGCCAAACAATATTCCCTTATCTAAGCAGTCTTGCTGGGTAAAAAGAGATGGTGACCATTGTATAAATGATTCATAAAATACGACTCTTAATTCTAACCTTCATATTTATTGTTATACCTTTCTGCTTATTTTCTCTGAGATCACTTTTTTAAAAGTGCACAAGAATATCTGTGACTGAATCACCACTTACAACATGTAAAATCAAGGCTGCCCAGTTTTCTAACCTTTCCTTATGTTGGGAAGATCATTTATGGCATGCACCTTATATAAATACTTAGTTCTTGTTCTCTATATTGCTATGCACATTACTAGACAGTGCCTCTTGCACCTTCCATACTTCCCTTTGAAATATGAGCTGTTCATTTTTGGTGACGAGTAAAAGGTGTTTCTGTCTGGAGCTGGGATCAGCATTAGTATGTTGATAGTCTATTAACTAGACTAAGTTAATACTTAGACCAACTAAGCGGCACCACTGTAACAAATACACGGAGACTGTAGTTGCCATACCTTTCCCCTGTTTCCATTCTCAAAGGCAGTGATCAAATACATCAGCTCCACAACCCAGCCAGCCGCCACTAGCCTGGCCTCTGGGTTCATTTTTGATCTTGGTCAGAAGTTTCCTTCACACAGCATACACACTTTGGGCAACAAAGTTGGTTTTGGTTTTCTAACTTATATGAGTATTAAGAACCCAAGTTAAAATGTTTGTATCTATAACAGAAATTAGCACATTAGCTAGTAATGACTATTACTAAGCTTGCTTTCACAGTGTATACCTACTGTGCTTTCTATTTGTTTCCTTCTGTTTATCATTTTTTTTCATACATAAAGCAGATTTGTTTCTATTGACATGCTATGTAAGTAACAGCCTTATGGACAGCTAAATTGACTGGTAATGGAGAGCTGTCAGGTTATTTTCTTTCTCATTAAAGTCTTTATTTTGTGCTCCATAAAACACACAGAAATTCGGCACTTCACTCTTCACCCATTCAAAGTCTGTTAAATTATCACAGCAAATAGCAGAATATGAGCATAGATAAAAAAGAAAAACATCTACCTCATTTGCAGCAAGAAACGCATTATTTGCCTCTGCCATGTTCATGTAGTTGTTATTGTTTCCAAACTGAAAGAAAAAAAATATTTGCATTTTAATGTATGCCACAATAAACCTTTCTTTACCCCATCACTGGCATAGAAAAAGTTGAAAAAAACCCAACGAAAACAAAATAACAAACAAATAAGATGTAATTTTGCAGATGTTCTTTGAAGTCAGAACCAGGTTGGTTTCAACATTATTATTATTATTACATACTCTGCATCCCCAGGTCTGTATGTGAAAGATATCAAAAGTGTATGCCTCCAACTTTCTTTGTCCATGTAGCAATGTCACCCCACAGTCCTAGAGGTGACTTCAGAAACTAAGCGTCCATTAGCAAAAGGCTATTCTCCAGAAAAGACATTTTGACTCTACTACATCTTTCCTAACATGCATTGTAGTATTTCTGCTGATGATCCTGATCCAGAAGATTGCTGCAGCTGGAAGTAGCTGGTATATTAGTATTCCAAGTAGACTTGGTTTTAAAGAGATGAAGGTCAATAAGGGGAAGAATAAGAATCTACAGCGCCATTCTTTCCACAAAATTAAAAAGCCAAACAATCCCCCTTTGTCTATCCTTCATTCCAGTTGAGCTCCCACACCCCCAGTGAACATTAAAACCAAAAGATTTTGCAAATCAGAGAAACCATATCACACTGAGACCTTGGGATCTACCCAAGGTGGAGTGGGCCGAGTGCCCACTTGCTCCCACTGAGGTGCAACTCTTTTCACATGTGAGTGATCTGAAAGGATCCTCTCACATACCACAGAGTCATTTCCTGCAAATTCTCAAGTATCAACATTTGTTGAAGAAAAGTACTTTTTCTTCTACAGACTGAACACAGAAAAGGAAGAGATTATCAGCATTTGGTTAATTAGCACTTCGTGGGCATTATTCCCTTAAACGGCACTTACGAAAAGCGGGTAGTCTGGTAACTGTTTCTGCCTGTGCTCCTGGAGCAGGTAGGCGTCTAGAGTCTTTGCTTCAAGGAACAGACACCACGCATGCCAGGCAGCTACCACTAAAACACTAAATCACAGGCTTTCACATTTTCACATTTCTATTATCGGGCACAGTGCACAATGCAAAATAAGAGTATCAAATGAAAGAAAAGCCCCTGTGCTGTCCCTATAATGCCCTACCACATCACTGCTGCTGAAGCCACACTAAGCATTCTTCCCTTAACTCCAATTTTCAAGTTCTGTAAAGCAAATTTTTTCAGGAAGGCTTTATTTAAGCCTGCCAGATCTTAGTGAACCTGCCTCTCCCCCTGAAACCACAACAGCAACCACCACCAGCAGCAGCATGAGCTCTGCAACAAGTGCATGAGGATGGGTAACCACGCACCTGCACAGATTCTTCTTTCCAAGCAAGAAACTGTGTTGTGCTTTCAGATCAGCTGAACCTGTCCTGAAAGGAAAACCACCTTGCTCCAGTTCAATTTGCTACTGCAGTACTTGGTGCCTAACTGTTTCAGCAGGGAAGCCTTTCAGATCTCAGTTCTCTCTCCAGTTCCTCCAGCATCCCAGAGCAGCAGAGGGGCCAGAGTGATCCTTTCAAGAAAAGCTCTTTCCCCAAAAACTCAAAAATCCATTTCTGAAAATAAGATCAAAAGTTAAAAGGAACTAAAAAAAAAAGAACACAAAGAATTGGAGTCTCAGGACATCAACAAAGCCAGAAGACAATCATGGGGAGGAAAGAATATGAGATGAGATTCTTCACTCTGAAGTATGAAATTCCAGTTGTGTACTTAACACGCTGAATCTTTCAACTTATAACACATGTTAAGCAACAGAGGCCTTAATACAATATGCAGGCTGCCTCATAGCTATTAAAACTCTGTTATCCCTAGCTATGCAGATACTCAAGTAATGTCATCCATTTTTTAAAAGCCCAGATGTCACCCATTTTTGGAGATTAAAAAATTCAAATAAAATTGCACATTCAAATTACTGTTTTGGCACATAAGGATGTGTGCGTGTGGATTAGTTGCACAAAGACATAGTACTTCAGCTCAACAGTGAGATCGACAGGATAGATTTTTTTCTTGTCAGTTAGTGGCAAACTAAGAAGGATTTACATGGAAGATTCAAATGGCTCCAATAGAGCTGTTCTTTCTACAGTAATTAAAAAAAAAAAAAAGAAAATAAATCAGGTTCTCAAATTATGCCAAAGTGCAAAGGTACAATAGGCAAGTATAGCTCTAACATTGAATATCTAAGTGAACAAACCCTATCCTATTTTAATGGGCCTAGCATCCCAGGGACCCTAGTGCCTCAAAATGGAAATGTAGCTGATTTTTACCTTGAAGAGTAAAAATCTACATTGTTTTGATCTACAGGTATTCCTCACACCACAGCTACTGGTGTTCTGATTGCCAAGTGGTTTTCTTCCTCTTTGTTTTATTAAAGTAAAACAAAGGGGAAAGTGACAACATAATTTTCCATTTTATTAAGACTGTGGAAGCAAATGACGTAACAATGAATGTCAAAGCTAAAAGTTATAAGTACATACCCTTAGATTCATTCTGGTTTTGGGCTACGATATTTAAGACCCTGTTGTGTATGATTCAGGCACCGATGTCAGAACCTGGTATGTTTAGGTTTTTGTTAGTATGGATCATAAGTACTATTTAAATTTATTTTTTGTCTCTGAATTAGAAATCCATTGAAGGCACACAACAATTATCAGCGAGTATTTCTAAGATTAAACTTCCTTATTATCTAACGGTACCTATAACAACAAAAGAAAATAAAATGGTTATTATCTTAAGGACCTAAACAATTCAAAAAACAAATTAAGCTTAGAGTGAAATAAGAACTGGGTTAGAAATCCTCTTCTGAACAGTTAGTCTGCGAATGTAATTACTGAAGAAACTACAGCTAATCAGCTGTGAATTGTATCCATTAATTAGTATTTGCCCTGGAGAAATGAGAAAAATCAGTAACAATGTTAACACTGCAATGCACTGATGAGTACTGAAACACAGCGCCCTCAGCATTTAGTCAAGCAGGTGGCTCCAATGGTCCAAGTAATTTAAAAAGCTCTCACCTGAAGTGCAGAGCTGGAATTACAAAGCACTTCTAGCATATCTTTGTATCTATATAAGGCTATAATTAATGGCTTTTAATTTAGAAACACTTTGCAATCAGCTGGGAACAGTTATAAATCATTCCAAGTAGAACAAGGGGTTCCTGCCTATTTTAGTAAAATAATTTGGGAAAGGTGTTTTTGGTGAAATGACTCTTGTTGCAGTCAACATGTTTCTCCATTTACTTTCTATAGGATTCCTTGTTCAGACCCCTCATAAACATCTTAGAACATTTATATAATTGAGAGCACGCAAGATTCAGCAATTTGGACTGTCCAGGTATAGTCCTGTGGCGTCCCACTCGTTGGGTTTCCTCGAGACAGAAAGAAAGTGAGATGCAGCACCCAGTCCAGTTATCTTTTTGTTCTACGCTGGCATTGGGATGCTTTGCAAATTACTTAGCCATAGCAATTAGCAAGGTTTTGCATAAACTTTGGCATCTAAAGATCTCAGAGAACCCTCGCTCTGTAACTAGCAAAGAATAAAATATTTCCAGCTTCCTTTGGCAACACATGCCATTGCATTACAAACTACTATTCGTTTCCTTTGATTTCAGGTGTTCAACAAACCCCATCTTAAGTTTTGATAAATACATTAAGCATGGGCACTACAACTTACTGCCACAGCAAACCAATGGAAACCACACACATACGCTGATTCCATGCAATGGAGTGCAAACAAACAAAATCCCTTCTGAACTTCTTGTGAACCACAGCTTTCATTCTTCATGCAAATCACTGCATTAAAATTATGACAGTTCAGTCCTCCACTCTTTCATGTTGCAAGGGAACTTGAATCTTGGCCCTACTGAAATCTGTAAGAACCAACATGAAAACTGTAATGAGACTGGATGTTGGCTTACTAATACCTTGTATAAAGAATGTCAAGAAAACTGATTATTTCTGAAATAGCTTGTTGAGGCTCAGCTCTTAGTTTGAGTACCAAACCTGAAGCCCAACATCTAGCCTTATCCAGCTTTTCTAGGAAGGGTGTGTATTTGCAATGCTAAGGGAAAATTCATGCTTTCTACTCCTTCCCCAACACATGCCCTAATGAAGATCAAATCAACTCCTGCCCAGGATTGGGAATATAAAAACTGTATCACTGTCCCACTTCTACAGACTGCAGGTTTTCATAGACCAAACCTCCTAGGCCAGATGTTATGATATCTGTTTGCAAATCAAGGGATTAGCCACTTTGAATCAACACAGCAAATGCTACTTGAGTTTTCAAGCTACCCTTTGCCCTCACCAGACCTTAAAAACTGGGTAGTTATGAAAGCTGAGACTAATGAACGCTTGTTTTAAGAAAGAAGTCTGATATGATGAATGTCACAGAAAACCTTGGCAGTTCTGGATAAAAATCAGTGATTAAATGTCCACAGAGTCTGCATTCCTACTGAAAAAAAATATCTTGAGAAAACCTCAAAAGGTTAAATAGTGGCTACTGTCTGGGCTCTTCTTTTGCAACTGCAATGAGTCAAAAGCCACAGCAAGAAATAAAACAAGCATAAGAGAAGTTCACACCACTACACATAATATTAAAAAAAGGCATAAAAAGTAAAGCAAATAACTCATTTCGAAGGTGTTATGGACAGACAGAATAACATTTTGAACCTATAAAAGTTAATGGGAATTTTCCTACTAATTTTAATGGAGAAATTATTTTACTTACAACATTCAGTCATTAGTATTTATTACAACTTTCTACATTTCTGTCTTTAAATCAACTCAACTGTGGTACAACTCTAACCTGAAAAACATTAGAACTCACACCCACTATTCATTTCCTAAAAGGTGCAAATACAGAAATACATAAGTAACTTAAACCCAGACACAGAGGAGCCCAGACTTTTATTGAGCATTTCAATGGAACAAAAATGAATTTTAAAAATAGTAGTATTTTTATGCTCAACAGTAAAATTGGATTCATCAGGCAAATACATTAGATTTTCTAAATAATTCTTTTTACCATATTTCTGCTTAATTTAGTAGTGCAACCACAAGGAAGGAGAAACTATTGGAAAGGTTATTGTTCCAGCACAGAATACCACGAAAACCATGCAATGTGAATAAATGTCCTAAATGAAAAACTCAAACAAAATACATCCATAACAGGAATGAAACACATTTTATCATCTTTTCATGACTAATCTGGAGACTTACATTTTGCTTAAAAGGAATGATTGCAATTCTGTACTTAATTATTATTAACATTAACTTAATTATAATAACATAATTATTAATGTTTAGTCAAAATACACATTTAAATTTTCTCAGGTTAGTATCATGAGACAGAATTCTCACTGGCTTGATGGTGAACTACTGCCTGCAGAACTAGCTCTAAACTAGTTCTGTCACAGCACTACATATCCACGTGCATATGTATTTTAGATCACATCCAAACTCTGTCATTTCTGATGCCAATTTACTGCTTACGGAAAATGGCAGCCTGAACTGATCAAACATCCAGTATTTCTGCAATAAAATTAGAAGCTGTACTCTTAAAAATATGGCCATTAATAAAATAATTCTCTTATAGTGTGAGCATGCACATAATTTTTATATAGAATAATATCTACTTGCACAGATATATATTATGGCAAGGATCTCAGTTCTATCTTCATATTTGGCAAATTAATTCCTCTGAGGTTACGCTATCCTTATGAGTAAAAAGAAAGATAACGATCCCAAAAGATGTAATTACAGACCAAAACTAAATTACTTTGCAGGTCTAAGTACTGTATCTTAATAATTTCACCGGAGAACATCTTCACTGCATTTGGGCAGATTTGATTTTGCTGCCTGACCAATAATTACAGCTCTGGCAAATACAATGTCTGATAAGGACATCAATTAAGAATGAGCATTGTGTTATTTTAAAAAAAAAAAATTCATCATGTTCACAGTCTGTCTGATTGAATGAAATGCCAAATTAAATTAATGGAGATTGCTAAGTCTAGCTGGCTGGTGGGGAACCATGCAGAAAGTGGGACAGCATAGACAATAAACTGTCTGTAATTAAAAGATGAGAAGCTGGACTAATGCTACTTCAGCCTGATTACTCCAAACAAAACAATATACACTAAAATTACTCTGGCAACAGAAGTAGATGGAGTGGGAGGAGGGTTGGGAGAGGGGGCTTTTTCTTTTTTTCTTTTTTTTTTTTTTTAATAGTATCAACTACCGTCTATGAACAGCAGTGTCCTCACCAGATGTATTAAATTAATTAAAGGTATTTTTTTTTCCTCAACAGAAAACACAATTTATTTTCTCAATGAATGGAAAAATAACAGATGAGAATTCTCCAATCATTTCTGTTCTAGATGGATATCCAGCTAATCTCTGTAGAGGCTTTACTTTTAAGTATGATGTGTTCATAGCAGGAGCAGTATTCTTTTCTGGAAGAGGAAGTCCTTCATGACAGCTTCACTACTTCAGAAGCAGTAGGTGGTATTCATATTATTTTATAAAATACAAGTATTCTATTTTATTTTTGCTACTAAAAACAATGAGGCAGATTTTAGCAGCTGGTTCACGGATGCAATACCACTAAAGTTGTTAGGGATTTATATCGTTATAAGTGAATGCATCATCTTTTAAAACCCAAATTTTAAAACTTTGTAAATAAAGAAGTAATTTTATGTCCAAATGAATGCAAAATGGTATCCTTGATTTTGACGCTATACAGCTACTCGTAGAAATTTCTGTACTCCTCCGGGAGGATGCTAACATTTTGGAAGAAATAGCATGCACTGCCAGATGCAAGAAGTATTATTTACCATGGACAACATGCAGCTATCGGAGGTTAAGGATTGAGTCACTGAGTATAACAGAGATGGAGAGCTGGACCAGATGCACTCAAAAGGCTGTCCATTTGGGTCAGCCTTTGACCAAATGTCAGTAAGCAGATAATGTAACCCAGTTACATCAAAGATCAAACCGCTATGTGCGTGTGTGCACAAGGGTATGGCTACATGCACAGAGGCAATGCTTTTGTCAGCAAAACGTAGAATTTTTTGAAAAATTTCATGAAGTACTGGACCACTAGGTAACACGTATTATATATGCCAAGTTTATACTTGAGCCTTTCCATTCATATTCTTCCGGCAAATTTACAATCAGTGATTATTATAGGATAGTACAATAGAAATCAGCTTTTTGAGACAGGTTACGGTATTGGTCTTATTTTCAGTAGGTAATATCTTCTGGAAGCGGGTTCATTTCCTGCTACGTTCTTCCTATAAATTTTCTAGGAAAGATCTTCATGTACGTGTGAAAAACTACCCAGGAAGCCTTAGCCTTGGTGACTTCAGCCACCAGAACATACTACACAACAGTTATTTCTCCCCGTTTCTTCCACGTCAGTATTCTCTAACACACCACATCAGGATCCTGCAATAATCAGGAGGAAATGCAGGCCCCATTGAAAACAAAAGAAGTTCCTACAGAGGATTTCACATCAGAAAGCTTAATTTGCTTAAGAACACATTGCTGATGAGCAACTAGCCAACAACATAGAGGAGCACAAAATGTTAAAATAAATTTATCTAAGTACCCGGTTTTGCAGTCACATCTCCAATGCTGAATTTTAGGCAAATGAATAATCTCATTAGCGGTTCATTAATTACTGAATCTGTACATAAATGTGTACAACCATACATTTGACAGTTTTTTGATATTTAAAAATCCTAAAAGCCTTTAAATTCAGGGGACCATTTAGATTCCAATTTTTGAGTCTTAAACATCTGCCACATTGATTGTTATATATGTGTTTCGATACATGCGTCTACGCATGTATATATGTATATACGCACATTCTCTACGCTGCTTAGAGCCAAAAAAATCTCAGTGGGATAAAATACTTGAGCAAGATCCTAAAGAAAAATAGACATTTATATTTTATCCATATATCCTCAAATCTCCATCAGGCACACTTTTTCAGTACAGTGTGCAGTACAGATTTAAGTTTTAGGAAAGTGATTAGAATGCAAACATTTGAAGTTACTTTGAAAGCTTTCAACCAGCAAATAAAAACTTCAACAATAACAATAAAAAGCACTGACTTAATCTCCCTAATTCCAGCCAAACTCTTTAATATGAACTCCTTCAGTGAATTCCATGGCCAAAAGCAGTAACTGAATGGTATTTTGCAAAGTGTGATATTGTGCGAGTCTTACAAACAGTAATGAAAGGAATATTTAATAGTCTCATCTGAGACATTTTCAGATCTTTTAAGAAGGATACAGTCTAGAAAAGTTTTTATATGCAAGAAGTAACTTTGTATGAATATGCACAGTATTATCATTCTGCTGAGTGACAGTCAAGGCAACTCAATATATTCCAGATTTTTAATGCTACTTATTCCATATTTAAATACATAAATACTAAAAAGCAGTCCAAAGTGTGGTCCTGGTCCTAATTTTTATACAAGATTAAGGTGTTATAAAATTCATCTGAATCTTGAAAGTTCTCTCCAAGACAAACATACCAAATATTTTGCTGTCATATGTTCAAAGTGTTTCAGTTTACCTTTTTGGCTCTTTGTAGACAAGAATGGATTTTCCATTCTGCCCACATTGCCTTCAAAGGTAGTAAAATAGAGAATCTAACATGGATTCTGGATATATCTCTGCATCCATCTACATATACTAAGACTACTTTTCCTCTGTACAAGGCTAATACAAATATCAAACTTAGACCAACCACTAAGTTTCACGTAAAGATGACTCCATAAGATCTACAGATGTTACTACAAAGAATTCTGAAGTACATTCACTATCATCACACTCTGTTGATGCCTGAAGCTTAAAACACTAGAAGATACCAAATGTTAAGATAAACACTCAGTAACAAAGCCAAGGAAAGGCCACTGTAGTTTAAGTATTTGTTAAAAAATATATGAATATTTAAAGAACATGTTTTCTTTCTTTGCTTTCTAACCTAGAGATGTTTGCAGTGATGGACTAGGAAAATATTTTTGTGATCACTCTCATGAGTACATACTTGTTGCTAGAATAAACCAGATTAGACATAAATGTCATGGAAGGAATATATTACTAAAATGGCAAAAGAACTTATTTATATGGCTACATCTTTTGTTTATATATATTTTTCTACATCTTTGTAGCAATTTGGATTCCACATGAGAAAGATCTTCTCAAATACGCAGTTTCACAGCATCCATTCAATGTATGTATTTTACAAGTTACATTTCTCTGAACAGCTCAAATTATACATAAGATCTTATTTCTGATGACATCAGAGGACAGATGGCAGTTAAATTAGGCTTTTTTCCACAACTGCTGTAAAGAACTGAAGCAAGGGTAAAGCACAATTGCTCCCTTTCCACAACTCTGTGAGAGGGTGGAAATGTCCCTATTCTCCTTGACATTTACCAAATGGAAAAAGATCAAGAGCCTCTCAGAATGGCCTCAACACATGCACGTGGTACTGCAAAATAACTTGCAAGAAAGATCCAAACCAAATCTGTGGACTTGACTCTGGGGCTGCCCCTCCAACCTACCTTCCCATGCCCCTCTGGGTTGCGATAGGAGTACCCATGCCAACACCTGGTGCCATGATCGGAGGCCACTAGCTCATGCCCTGCTTGGGGACAGGAGTCCTCCAGCACTCGTGGGACCTAAAAGCCCGAGAGGTCCCAAGAGAGAGCAGCACTATGCCCCCTCCTGCCCTAATACACCAAGGTCAGCATTAAGGGCCCTTCTTCAACCCCCCCCTCAGCAGGGGTATAAGACAACTCTACACCTCTATTTGAGTATCCTTTAACCTGCAACAGTTTATTTTTAACTGCAGTTAGGGGTTATAGATCGGGGGTGGGGGGGGAATGCATAAATACCAGAACTGTTTCCACCATATGAACATTTCTGTTTCACCTTCCTCTTCCATGCATTAAGTTCATAAAACCAGGTGTTAATCACGTCTACCCCCCACTTATTTTATATAAACTGTCTACACATTGGATCTAAGCATTCCTTAACATAATGACAGCATTTTATTCTTAGTATCCCAAGAAACAGTTTTATATCACTATATTCAAGATTACTGTAACATTTTCTCACATGAATTTAAAGTGATGTGATTATACGGCAATTGGGCTGTAAGTAGCTTTTCTTAGAATCTTATATCAAATTTCACTCACTCTAGCGAAAATTGTAAATTCCATTCTAGACTGTGATTCAGCTCTACTACACTAGCAAATTATATCAAGTTTTAAATATAAAATTGATACAGAAAGGGTGAAGCAGATGTAGACATTTTATAAGAATCATAATAATGGAGGATCAGTCAAGAAACTTTCAGGCTAAAATCAGTACATGCATAAAATCTTAACTATCTCGACTCTCAGTCATGTTGATACCATGGGTTCCTGCGATTTTTTCTGAAATTAAATACTTTCCACTTTCGAAATACTAATCATAATCAAATAAAAAAATGGCATTTTTTTTTAAAGTCTGTATTAACTCTACTTCATTATAGATAAGGATGTACAAAGCAAGTCATCTATTGTGAAGACAGCCAGTAGGATGTAACTCCGCTCTTATTACACACATACCCCAATGAGAAACCGAGAAAAGCCACCCAGAAATACACCGACTCCAGCGGCAGTCAGTAATGGTTACCCTCAACCAAAGCTCTAAGCTGTAGCATGCAGTAAGCAATGCCCTTCTATATGGGAAGAATAGGAAAGTGCAGGTGAGGCTCAAGGATTTCATATGCTAAACTTGTAAGAATAGAGGTTGTACAAGAAAATAACTGACAGGCGTAAGATTTGAGAATTTTCCTCAAGTGAAGACCTTCTCCAATTTGGAAAAATTATGTGTTTCAATATAATATAGATTATAGATGCATTTTGGAAACAGGCACGTAACACATCACTTCTTCCTCTTTCTTTATCTTGCATCAACCTTAAACCTGGAGGATTTCTCCACTATTTTTCGTTGGGGCTGGATTACAAATCCCACAGCAGGGAGGCCTCTCGAGAGTCTTCAGCAACAACTAACTTTATTTAAACATGCAAGATTGAACTGGATGCAATGCTCTGCAGTAACAGTAGAGGAGAATTAAATTTAAGAGTGGAATAATCCCTCATGCTAGCTTGTATTCCTAATTTATGCCACTGAGACTAATCAGGCTTAATTTATCTATCTTTAGCTTCCCGCTGTTTCATTCCAACCTAAAGGCAATATTTTGGGCAGCAGAAACTTTATTTTGTAGGTGAGTAACCTACTTTAATTGCATTTTCATCCATTACTACAGTCTAGCATTTTCTTCACTTAATTGGGTCACTGCATTCCTTCTTGTAAATGGGCACAGAAATTACTTCTGATATTGATTGCAGCCCCTGAGGTTCTGCCGAGAGTTGAGGACACACAAAGGGTACACAGCAAATTCCATTTACGATGAGTGAAATGAATAAAGTTTCACTCAAAACCTTCACTCCCCGTAATAATAAAAAAGAATTAAAAAAAAAGAAAATCTTAATGTTAAAATATCAAAATCTTATATTAAGCAAATTAATGCCAGTTAAGAAAAATCAGGTTGCTCTGTTTATAATCTTGTTTCAAATGCAACCTGACCAATAGCCTCACCCACGCAGGACTGGAAATGTCTAGCACCATATGCAAGCAAGGCCTCTCAAGTCTTCAGGTGATCTTCAGCACTGATGTTTCAATATACTAATAACTAATTAGCGTTAGAATTAAGTGCATATTAAAAAGCACATCAGGCATCTCAGTAATGTAATTTCTCCTCATCATTTTCAGATGCCATAGAAAAAAACAATGTTTTTTAATATAAGACTAAAAATGGTAATAAAAGCTCTCTTGAATAGTCAAGTGCTACCCTTCACGTCTTGAAATAAGCAAGCCTGAGCTTTGATACATGAAAATTCTTGAGTTTCTTTTCTTGAAGTATAAAAGACACCAGATCCAGTGGCATTTCTGCTGCCAAGCTGCTCCACAGCTCAGAACTCATGCACTGAAAATATTCTCCTAATTAGTGGCCTGAGACAATCCAGTCTTATGCCGTTCACAACAAAGATGTGCAAGAAGTTGAATACCTCTTAGTTGAATTTAAAATAATAATCAGATTTAGCTTTAGTATGAATTCAAACAAGATGTATGAATTAGCTGTAATCTCTTAATGCACTTGCTTTTTCTGAACGTTCGGAAACTATGCCAAATATTCCTAGGAATATCTGTTAATTACAAGCCAGGTTAATAATTTGAGGTCAAATGGGAAAAGTCACAAGCTTACATTCACATAGCACTCTTACGTTTTCCGTATCAGCTGATAGCACAATGGTGACCTGAGCTCTACAGAAACATTTCTTCGGGTGTCTCTAAGACAGTATTTTTGATACAGAAACCATTCTGCTGGAAACAAATAATACTTTTACCATAACCATGTGCTTCTGGCAGATAGATGCCTGCTACAACTAGCTGCAAACTACTGGGAGTTTTCTCATTTTTATTTTATATCTCAAGCCTTATCATTCCATCCCACTTTTAGAACAGAAAATTTCCCAGAGATCAGAAATCTTTGTGTAGTAGAAGTGAGATCTGGACTCAGTGCACTCTCAGAAAATCCTATATATTCAGTGGGAGTTTTTTTCCAAATACCCAGGGCTAAAGCTGTCTCATTACTATATTATGTTTTGGATCGCATAACAACTTTAGCCAAGTTTTATGACACAGGCAGATTATATTTCTGTGATATCAAAGTTGCATAAGAGTTGAGAACTACTAATCTCACATCCAATTCTGGTGAGCAAGTGAAACAATGCAAAACCACGCAAGGGAGCAGGAAACATGAAAATTGCTTTTATGTTCACAGTAAGAATAAATCACAGGAAATCCACAAGGTCGGTTGATTCACTGTCTGCAAAACTGGGGACATTTTGCTCTACCATAAAATTTCTCACTCTACCTGAACTGGGAGACACTGCACACCATTAGTGTGAACGCAACGAAGGCGGCAGGAACAGTGGAATAGCGCGTGATGTTCTGGCAGCTCTTTTGCCACCAAAAGAGGAAAATACCAACCAAGGGTGGGGAAATAACTGACTGCTCACAGTAAAAACTAAACGGCATTATAAACCATGAAGTTAAACCATGGCATCAGGTATACGGTTGGACTTGATGATCTTTGAGGTCTCTTCCAACCATTATGATTCTATGATTTTCTCTTCATTTGTATAAGCAGCTAGAATAGTTTCTGATAATATTTTATTCTCCAGTGATTTTTAGACTTAAAAACCCCCAAATCCAAACCAAACCAATCCTCAAGATAATGGTTTTGCCTGTAAATGCTTGCCTGATCAGCCCTGGAATTATTACAACAGTTCTCCAGTGAAAGAGATTTCCTTTGCTAATCAAAACAAGGTTGCTCAATGGTATTTTCAACACTTGTTAAGAACAACATAAATACATATATATTTTAATGGGAGAACCGAGTTGTCAAATATGATATACATAGTCTGGTTTTGAGAGGAATAAAATTATATACAAGTGCTATAAAATTATGTACAAGTGCTGGGTACTAGGAGGCAGAGAAAGGGTGGAAGAAAGACCCATAAAAAGGCATAGTAAGACAATGATTATCAAAGCAGAATAATACAAATTAGCTTATCAGATAGATAAGGAAAAGATAAACTGAAAACTGGTAAGATAAAAGGGATGAAAATAAACTTTGAGGAAAGATTAACTCATAGCAAAGGAGAGGTATTCAAAATTAGAAGAAAAACGATTTAGAAGTTTGCGATATCTTGTAAAACATGATTTTGAGAGCATCTAGAAGCAATTCAAAGCATATGTATTTACACACACTTTCATATAAATGTTATTTCTTCATATTTTGAAAAAATCTTGTAACAGTGAATATGAAATTTAAATTAATCTCCTAATTCCAAACCACTAATAGTTCTAGAGAAAAATGTCTTTTTCCTTTGTCTTCCATACAATCTTACTGTTTTGCTTTCCTAACAGCATGGAACAGTTGTCCATGTCCAAGCTCATGTACATCCCCGGGCAACTCTTGGTAACATGCCATGATGATCCTTAACACATCCTTGTGCGGGACCTTCCTTACCACCACAGAAACCAACAATGATAGATTACAAGTGACACAGAAATCTCTTCCGGTGCTATAATCTCATCTTCATCCAACCATATATACAAACCACTGGTCATAAGAAACACATTCACTTATATAAAGATATATATACACACACACACACCCCAAAACCCCCACATCTCTCACAAAATCGAAATGCAAACAGTAATTTGTGTAAGAGTCAACTAGGAAAACTAGAAATCTGCAGTGGTACTTACCAGGGAGGAAAAACAGTGAAGGGTTATTTGCCAACATAAATCAGGCTGTACCATTTGGTTCAGATAGTGGTGGTGGTGATGTGCTATATTCCAGTAACTGCAATATCACCCGTAGCTAAACTAGCTACTATAAAAAAAATAACAGGGCTATCAATTTTCATGTCAACATATAAATATATCATCTTCTGAGATAAGAAAAAAGTTTCTGCCATGTTGTAATACTCAACC